TAATAAAAGCTGAGATAATAACATTTAATTGAAAGACTCTAACTAGGCCCGATGTCAGGTGTGGAGGTGAGCTCAGTTCGTTTGTGTAACACGGGTCAAAGCTGCAGCTGTGACACTAAAGTCCAGCATTTGTACCCAGGACACGTCCAGTGTTTGTTCCTCGCCCCTGAGTCCTGTTTATTCTGGGAGTTTGCCCCGAGGCAGCGCTTTTTTTCCATCTCACATTACTGCAGGAACAGAGACGAACACACGTGACGTTTGGATTCAGAGTTCCTGCTCAAAAAAACTCAAAACACCCCTTTAAAGGATCCAGTGCTTCACAGAAGATCTACTTTCAGTTTGAAAATGAGACTTAAATCCAAATTCTTTTATTTTTCATTTAACACAATAAATAAATGAATGAACTACAAGCTTAGAAAGTTGTTACGATAACGTGGAGGCAGATTCATAAACATGAACCAGAAAAGTGCATTTTAAAAACACACAAGGAGCTAACCTTGGAAATAAAACAGGAAGTAATCTGGTCTTTTTTTAATGACACTATCTGACCAATAGAGCGGCTCCTGTGTGAAACTGTTGGGTGATGTTCGTCGCCTGGTTACAAAGTAACACTGGCAGAAAGCTAGCAGCAGAACCTCCGACCCTGAGCTCGCCGACCCCGGCCGAGCGGGTAACCCTGGATGAGCAGGTGTCAGTGACCTGTCGGTCGCAGCTCGTTGGCCGAGGAGGTCGGGCCCTCAGAGTCTCAGTTAGTCTGCTTTATTAAAAGGCCGAGATGGCGGTGGAGATCTGGGCGGAGCCACGCACGAGGACGTGACTGATTTGGGTTTGGTCTGCGCCGCTCTCTGAACCGCCCAAAATACTAAAACAGCGTCAACACTCATGAAGGTTTCGCTGGTACTCACTCGGCTTTGGAGTTGAACATGTGCGTCGCCCAGCCGTCCATGAAGCGCGGGTCTCGTGTGAACCACAGCGCCACCATGAGGATGAAAACTGCCAGAACGCTGAACTCTCCGTAGCTCATGGGTCCCAGACGGGAATGCTCGTCCCTGATGACCTCATATGCTGCCCGCTCCTTCTGCGACTGGACCGCACCGCAACCCCACGTCTTCCTCAGGCTGTGGTGCACAAACGCAAAAAAACCCAGTCATGTTTGTAACTGTAAAGTTGAGCTGTGGGAGCTGTGGGAGCTGTGGGAACTGTGGGAGATGCCACAGTAATGTTGGGGGTTGTGTTTTGGTGACTTACTTGCAGCCCACGTAGAGGAACTGCAGCCAGAACCAGGCCAGGGTCAGGGTCAGCACCATGGTGGGGAAAGCAAAGGCAAACCAGGAGGCAAAGTTGATCACGTCACCGTTCTGAGGGAAGAGCCTGCGAGGAAGAAACAGGAAGTTGAGAGTCAGGCCTTACAGGACACGTGTTCACATGATTTGGGTGCCGTTGCTGGGAGTTCGTACTGGCTCATCTGTCCGATGAGGACCAGGTTTGGCCCGGTTCCTGTCAGGGTGGCGATGCCGCCGATGCTGGCGGCGTAGCAGACCGACAGCAGGAGGCCTTTACTCATCCTCCTCGTCTCCTCCTCCACGTCACTCAGCTCCTCCAGCTCCATCTGACAGCAGTTGCTCTCCACGGTCACGACCACTGAACACAGTCAACAGCGTTAACCAATGAACCTACAACAGCTACACTCACATTTCTCTGAATGTTTTCTCCACGTTATGTTTGACTCTTCTTTCTGATTTGGACTCATTTAGATTGATTAAATCTTTATTTTGAACATGTTGAAAAA